GTTCACCAGGGTTGCTATGGTAGCATTCTGCATCTTGTATTTCTCCTGGAAGCTTTCCAGGACCTCATAGAACCATGGGGACACCATGGCCCATGGCCTCCCATTGGTCGTCATGTACACCTGCTACTGTCGCAGCAGCTGCCCTGCAAAATACTTGACAAAGCTGGCTATTTTTTAATTCCACCCCTGTTGTCAGTTTGCAAACCTGGCTCATAGACTTGGCCCAGAGAAACAGAAGGATATCTGGCATTCCTCTGCCTCCAGACTGTTTCACTTTGTACAGCTGGGCCCTCACCACCTTCTCCCATGAGGAATTCCAAAAGAGAACACATATGGCACTTTGGATTCTGCAAATGACTTGCTCTGAGGTAGGAAGGCTAGGAAAGTGTGTTAAAGTACCAGGAATAGCACTAGCTTTATCAGTACCATACCCCCTATGGCAGAGAGCATGACTGGTGCACCTCATCTAATCACAAGAATAAATTAATGCAACCCATCTGAATAAGATGCATGTTAGTGGCCACTGAATGCAGTCCCCCTCAGTGCCAACTCTTTTCAAGTCACGGTGAGCCACTACATTGACTATATTTCAACTTCCTCTTCACTTCCATAGCTGAGCTATGCCTTTCTTTCCCATTTTCAATAATTCCTGTTCCTGCATCAGTCTTGAATGTCTGATAAATATAATCAAACAGGTCCCCAAGACTCCCTCTGTCACCCCCTCTCTAATCCTGGTGCATATGATTAGTGTGACCCCACCCTCCATGTGAAGCCAGACCAGGTTGACCTGCACCTCATCTGCATATAAATTTTGGAGCATCTCAGGACTCGTGACAAGAATGCTCAGTTCCAATCATGAGTGGGGAGCTAATAAGCATATGGATCCTTGGAGGGGGGGAGGGGGTGGTAATCTGGAGAACACACATGCTGAGCACTGCTGAGCTGTGGGGTCACCATGGCTTGAAATCCTGTTGACTCCGCTAGGGTCCAGAGCAATTAATTATATAGTAAATAATGAGCCTTTTGGTTTTGAACTAATATTGTATATGGTTTGTACTACACTGATGGCATTAAGTTTACAAGTAACAACTTAATGCAGGGGTTGTCAGGGGGTACTTGGGAAGGCCCTAGTGGGTACTGGCACACGGGTGCGAATGGTGTGCTCCACCCACCACCCCATGCTGCTGCTGCTCCACATCTGTCTCTGGTCACACACCACCCTTCCCCATGTACAGTCACCACGGGTACACTTATTAAAAAAGGTTGAAAACCCCTGACTTAATGCACTGTAATCAGCACTCCTGTGTAGCAGCACCAGCACACAACTTTTATGTGATGTTAATGTGTAGCAGACCAATTCTACTGTGCATTAATGCATTAGCACAGCTTTCACCATGACATGCTAATGCACAATATAATTAATCTACTGTTTTAGTGTCTCATGTAGATGCACCAAGTACAAAAATACTGCTTAAAAAAGTGAGGACCTGTGCTAAACCTTGTAGCAGTTTCAAAAAGAAACAATGTCTCAATTCTGGCTGAACAAAGTCTATGGATACCTGTAGTAATTTGCTTACATGCAAATTCTGACCCTCTCTTCCATGTGCCCAAGAAGAGCAGGGTCTGACAGTAAGGGGACAGAGAAGGCTGTGGGGGCCAGAAAGCAAGGCAGCTACCTGACGCCCTAGATTTTTTTCCCCCTACTGTAGCAGTGAGAGGTAGGAAATTCAAGACAAATCTCCGATAAGTAGTGTCACAGAGTGGGGTCCTAGGGGCAGCCATGATCTCCCCTAGCACCCCCTACTGTGCCAAGTTTGCATTAAAGCACCCTTGTTCTTGCCCACCACGTCTTGATCTTATAAATAAAAAGGGAGGCTGCCTTTCCGTCCTCTTGGTCACAGTGCTCTTGCTACCCTGCGTCTCACTTCTATAATGGGGTTCCAGGCACCCCAGGCTTATGGGCTATGCCTGGTTCCAACCGCCCCTTTACCACGCCCCAAGCATCACTCCCTAGCTGTTCCTACTCTAAGGAGCAGGGCATCTGCATGTTCTGCGACAAGTAGATTCTATACCTGGAAATTTTTAACAAGTTTATAAATTTTCCATATATAGAATCTATTTATCGGGGGGTTATCTTATATTTAGGGTTGTGTTATATTGAAGTAAATATAATATGTGCCTAATAATATCACAGGCCCCTAGTGAGTCTTACAAAAGGGTCTAATTTGTGTTAGGTGCCTAGCTTCTTCTGGAAGCCAATGGAAGTCAGAGGTGGGATATTAGAAAGAACTTTTTCCCTATGAAGGTGGTTAAGTGCTGAAAGATGCTTCCTAAAGAGGTTGTGGAATCTCTACCCTTGGAAGGTTTTAAAAGTAGGTCAGATAAACACACAGACAGGGATGATCCTGTCTTAAGCAAGGGGTTTGCTAGATGCCTCTTGAGGTCCCTTCCAACCCTAGTCTTCTATGAGTCACAAATTAGCCTAAAGAGGTACAGTGCCTAAGCACATTTTTCAAAAAGCTTTGTAAATTTAACCCCAGCTGATAACCTGCAACTCCCATTAACATCAGTAGGGGCTACATTCCTCCACACTGCTGGGAATCAGACTATCTGACTGGTTAAATAATAGATTTAGGAACCTATATGTAGACACTCAGATTGATAAATGATAGCTTCTGTAGGAAGGATTGTTTTTATTTCAATGGCAGTTCTATCTACAGAGAAGAGACTGAAGAACAGATTAGTAACTGAACTTACTACTTGCTCTTTTAAAAAAAATACTAGTTTAAAATTTTAAAACCTCATACAACTTACGTGAGAGAATCCAACCCTGCTTTTAAACAGGTACTCAACAGTATTTAATAGAACATACCCTCTCTTGGCTGACTAGACTTTTTTTTGTCCAGGCCAACACTATACTGAGACTTATTTTTGGGAAGATCTTGTATGTATGGTGGGTTATATTTAGGGGTCTACCCAACTCAAGGTGGCGGCTGGCCAGTTTTGCAGGCAGACTGCAGAACTAGCCACCATTTTCACGGGTTTATTATAGAGGTCCCCCCACACTTCTGATTGGCCAAGACGCTCCAGTGGCCCCACCCCCCACTGTTAATTGGTGGAGAGGACTGTCCATCATGTGGCCCTGCCCCTTGCCACTGATTGGTGAGAGGTGGGGCCACATGACAGGCAGCCCTCTTGGCCAATCAGCGGCAAGGGGCAGGGATGGCAGCTATCTTGCCTTCTTGCCTTGGTGCTAGCAGCCCCCTTTGTGTTGCCAGGAAAAGCCAGCATTTTATTTTTAGTACTATTTTAGGGTTGGGAAAGGGGGTTCCCACTAATTTTGTGGAGTTCACCTGATTTTGCAATTTCCATGGAATCTGTGGAATCATGATTTGAGTAGGTCCCTATTGTATTGTATAAGACCTTTCATATTCAGATACAAACAAAGCTGAAACAAAGTTCCTGGTTACAAATAAGATCAGCTTTGCAAGCCCCATCCCTCATAGAATCCTGGTATATTTTTATACTTAGAAGTCACAACTCTGCAGCATCACTACTATAAGATGCATTTAGACCACTGCTAAAGAAAAGATTATTGCTCACACCAGAAGAAAACATTACACAATTCAGCACAGCTGGCAACATCTTGTATTGGAATGAAATAGTAGAGCTGTTGCCAGTTCGAACTAAGCTCTCATTACAGAACTAAGCTTTGAAGGATCTCTACCTGACTTATGATGGACTCAAGGCAATAATTTCAGACACTAAATTTTTATGAGCTGCAAACAATTAACAAGGAAGACAAAATATGGGTATTAGTCGTAACATGAAAGTTTCACCTACTATAGACATTAGCTGGCCCACTTACCCAGCTAAACAACAAAACAACCTGTAATATAGTTTTTCTAGAGATATGTAAGAATTGCTTGGGGGGCAAGCATTTGTTATTAATGCAACCCACAAGCAGTCTATACATAAAAGGAACAAAAGTATAAAGGATGACCTATGCAGCCACATGGGCATAAGACTGGCTGCAAATAATGGTTTGCTTTCTATAAAATAAGGGATTTAGTACAGTATGTGCTTTTGAGAGTTACTGTTCACAATCACAAGCACAGGAATTCATTTTGAACATCAAAATGATAAACAAAAAAACTCCTTTGCTGATCCCTTACATGATCCAGGCAAAGTAACTTGAGCTTATTCCTGATTTCCATTTCTAATCTTACCTAGGCCTACATGAACTGTCTGACTAACCTCAACCAATAAATGTACTTTTTAGCAAAGGTATTTACAACATTGCGCAAAGCTATTAAAAATGGACAACATTTATAATTATCCATCACAAAACCAAAGCTAAAAAGCACCTTTATTGGTTGAGCAGATAAAGTTTTCATGAAGAGCACAATCAAGAAGATATACGCAAGAGTTTTATTGACAGATGAAACAGTCTTCCTACATTACAGTCTGCTCTCTGTTAAAGCCATGCACTTCTTTTCCCAGATTTTGTTTTTTGCTGCAAACAATAAATAAGTGCTCTGACACTGAACATAAAAGATGAGTCTCCTACTAATACAATGTTTGTATATATAGTTTTATCTGAAAGAGGAACAATCAGTGGGAAAAACCCTAATAATTTAATAAAGATTGCTATGTATATTAAATATTTCTCTATATTTCCAACAATTATCAGAAGGCTGGAACAGATTCTTTCCAAAGCAAATAAATACCAATATCTGGAAGTTACTTTGGTAAATTACAATTCTAAGCTACTGTATATTGATCAGGTGTTTGTTTATTATTATTCTTATTTGTCTGTGGGTTCCACAACTAACAAGCTGCAATTCCTTTTCGGCAGAGAGACACTTCTTTAAAATAATATTTTCTTTTGAACTTCAGCTTGTACAGACACGTTAAACACCAAAGTAGTACAAATGGTACAACAGTTACATTCTGTATGGCAGACAAATGTAAAGGCCTCATTTTTAGAAAGGTCTTACCTTCACCTGATGAACCTGAAAGATCTATGATGACATACACTCTTCCTTCTGGCTCCAAGTCAATCTGCAATTGAGAAGCAAATTAAAAAGATAACCTTAGATGAGGTGTCTAGACATGCTACCACATGCACCATGTGAGAACAAGGTTTCCTGGAACTCTTAAACTTAAGGTATGAACAAGATACACATACAGTTTCATAGTTTGTTGGTTAGAGAGCCTCCTCATCCTCCAGGTATCACACTCTCATTTAATTCGAGCCTGTAAAAGGGTGACATCTATGCACGTGTTGACTTAAATGAGCTGGGGATACTGAAGGGGAGTAGAGGGACTCCAGCATTTTGCAGCATCAAGCCGCCTGTACTTAGCAGTCCAATACCTTTGTGCAAACCGCCCCCACACATTTTAACAACTTCTTCCAAGGACTTAAAAAAAAAGAAATTAAAAAGGAAGTGGTATCAAATAACTCTTGGCTGTAACTTCCACCAAGAACAGCCATGCAAATGAGAAAGCACTTCTAACTCGGAGAGAAAGAGAAGAAATCCTACTAGAGAATGTGGGGAAATCAATAAACGCAACTTCCATTGCTATTATTATTTGTTTCAAAGTGCATTGTTTTTTAAGACTGCAAAACTGAAATGCGTCCTATGCCCCTGACTCATAAGTACAAGATGCTATATTATTTCCTCATCCTGAGAGATTCTGGATGTTTCCATGGAGACTGATTTTAATGGGTGCCAACACTGCCCAGCACCATAAAAACAGGGCTCTTAAAAAAAGACCCTGTTGGTTCTAGATACTGGGAGACATGTTTAGACCCCACTGTGATGAGTACAATGTAAATATCTACATATATTGTAACTGTACATCACATTATGAACCTTCAGTTTCCTTGGTTGTGTCCACCAAGCTGACTCCCTGTACCTCACATGGATGGTTTGTATACCAGTGGTTTTCCCAAAAAATTTTAAAAATGTAAAAGCTACAGTAAAAGAATAATGTCTCCTGTAAGTATATGAAAAACCTCAATCTAATGCACTAAATTTCTCCTAAGCAACGTGTTATGCACTATATTGTACTCTTGTCCTCCTCAGCTGTACAAGACTCCAGCCACATCTCCCTGCATGGCCATGTAGGATCTACAGAGTTCTGAATATTTGGTGTATACAACAGGGCTGAAGGAGAGGAGAAAACACCATCTCCCAAAAAACAAGTGGGCAGTTAGCACTGGGTAGGGCTGTGATTCTTTCCCCTTCAGGTATTGATTAGATACTGGAGGTAAGGAGAAGGGAGCTGACATCTGATACTACCCACTAATTTCCCCCTCCAACTCCCAAGATTCAGTGCCTTCCTGGAGCCCCACCTAGCAAGACAACAATACATTCCCTCATATTCAGGAGCATAATTTGCCTCTAAGCATAATTGGCTTTTATTCGCTTCCCCCACACCACAGCAATTTCCAGTCCACACATGCTTAACCTCTGTTGAGGTGGTAGAGAGGTCTTTGTTTTCTTAAAATCACACAAATTGGCTACTTAGAGACTAAAAACATATCTGATGTCACTAACAGTATACAACATTAGGACCCTTCCTCTAATGTGCACAAATGACTCTGAGACCCAACTCCCCGATCTTTGCAAATTAGCAAGCAAGTGAACAACCAACAGTGCCAGGATAATGCTCAGCATCATAAAAGGTACAACATGTACCACGATCATTAATTTTGACAAACATAGTTTACATTTAATTAGTTATAATATTTCAGCATCTTAACAATAAAACACCCTATGTGGTGCTGGGTTTATGTCATTGCTGAAATGTGGGAAGAAACAGCCAACTTGACTGAAAATGAATAGGTGTGCAAACTAGAAAGATTCTAAAGTGTTTCAGGGACAGGAGGTTTGAGGAGAAAAACAAAATCAAACAAAAAGTTCAGCGTTATTTTTTTCACATTGCAGATGAAGTTGCACTTTCAACCTAAGAAAGTGAACTAGGGTGACTAGTTTCAGGCTGGAAATATTTCTGTTGTAAACTGGTAACAAAGCTAAGAATGTAGAACTAGATTCTCTGGCCTGCTCCATCCTCTTCAAGCAGTGCAGAGGTAGCTGACTGCATGCAACCTGATAGCTTAGTGTGGAGGTGGGCAATTATTTTATCTGGAGGGCAACTTAATGAGTTCTGGTGAGCTGTTGGAAGGCTGCAAGAGTAGCCCTGCCCCTTAACAGGTACCGCATCCCCCAGTCGCCATCTTGGGACTGGAAGTCTTTGCCACTGGAAGTCCCTCCCCTTGTCCCAGAAGCACTCCTGGGGGAAGCTGGATGGCATCCTGGGACAGAAAAAAACAAACCATATACTAGAAGTCAAACATTTACTATAATGTATTTTAATTTTATTTCAAAAAATATTTTTGTCTTGAATTCTGTGCATGTGCACAGTGTATATAGCAACTACTGCATAATAGTGCAACATAAATCTTACTCTTGTATATTGCTTGTGGGGGGTATGGGTGTGGTTGGGGGTGGGTGTGTATGTATGGTGGGGTGTGAGGTGTGTATGTGGGGGGGTGGGTATGTGTGGGGTTTGTTATGGGGTGTGGCTGTGTGTGGGGGTATAGGGTATGTTACAGGGTGTGTTTATATATGGGAGGGCTATGGCAGCAGGGTGTGGGTGTGTGGAATTTGTGAGGTGTGAGGGAGGCTGGGGGAGGCTGGGTGTGAAGGAGGATGGGGGAGCATGGGAACCACCCACACACTCAACTCCTTGGCACACAGCAGGGGCAGGAGGAGGAGCCACTGAACAGTGGAGACACTGAGCAGCTCCCAGAGTGGCTGCAGCACTGGTAGTAGCAGCAGCCCTGCCCACAAGCTGCGTGCTTGGCCGGGCCGGGGTCCTCCCATGCACAAGGATGGGAGCGTGGGCTGGGTACAATCAATTGGTGGGCACCCACAGGCCAGATGAAATAGGATGGTGGGTCAAATCCAGCCCACAAGCTGTATTTTGCCCATCCCTGTCTTAGTAGTTCCCCAATATTTTCAGACCAAGAGACGCTCAACATTTCTTATGGACCACAATGCACTCTTACCAAACTTAATTGAAAACACTCTAAAGGAGATTTGAATAAAAATGCAGTCTGTGGTCACAAGAAAGGACTTCATTCCCCCTCAACATGCCCCTCACCCCAAGAGAAGAGATTCCCCTGAAATATTATCCCAAATGGAAGAAGAGTCTCCATCCGTCCTTGAAAACATCCCCCGTCTAACAGAGGATTTGCCACCCCTACCACATAAGTCCCTACTTAGAAGAAGAGCTTCCTTTAGGACATCCCACCCACATACACACACAATTCATCCAACCAATGGGCTTCAGCCTTCATAAAACACCACCACCTAATATGGAATGTTGCCTCTTTCTCCAAAATCCAAGCTCCAACTGGGAGAAGGCTAACTTCCTTACCTATTTCCCTTCTTCTGCCCCCTAAATATGCACACCAGTTAAGAAAGAAACCTTCCCCCACCCATGCTTCCAAGAGATACACCTGGACCACTGCAGCTGGGAGGCAGGGAGAAGGCATGTGATGCCCCATCGAGTATGAAGATTGGTGCAAACCTGTAGAGCACTTACTATGACTTTTCAGACCATAGCTTTAGTAAGGAAAGACCTTATTTTCTTATAAAAAATACAAAACTTTTCCATCAAAATCAGCCCCCATAATTGGGGGAGGGTGTATTTAGCAAGGAAGCTGATTTTCTATGAAGGACAGAAGCACCCTCCATTGATTCCTGCTCCACAATGCAACAGCAGTGGCATTACTATTCAGGCAGCCATGGGAGTCAGTTAGGCAATGGCTAATAGTAATGGCTCATTACTCTTCATTGCACAAGTCTTAATAATCATCTCCCCTTTTTAATAGTCCTGATGTTCTACTAATCAAGCTAACCATAAGGCAGTTTTGCTGTCTGCAAGCAGATCCTGCTCTCTCTCCTATGTCATAGCTCTAGAGACTCTAAAGGTCTTTTCAGAAGCACAGAACCAGCCAAGGAGACCAGTCTTCAGGAGCAGCTAGGTTTCAGTGTAAGCAGCAGAGGGAGAGTGAATATTAAGTGAAAATTAGGTTGTGTCCCTGTTCATTGCAGCCATAACCATGCACATTTTTTTCCTTCATCCTGCCTTTCAAAAACAAGGTGTGTATTATGTTCCTGGGCATGTTGCATGTGAGCAAATATGGTAAAAGGAGAAACAAATAGGATGGAAAAGAAGCTAGAGTGCACCCCGTTACTGCTGGTTGCAACCATCTCATAGATAATAGCTGTCAACTAACATGAGTTACAACAGCCTCTACTGCCTCCTTTCATTTTCAAATGTTCACGCTTGCTTGTAAGGCTCTTTGCAACATGGGAAGGTGCATCTGTCCGTATCCTCATATCTCTGTCTCATGTCTCACAAACCTGTTAGTTACTTTGTCACACAAATGTTCTACGCCTGTTTCACAGCAGAGGGAATCAAAAGGGAGTGGTGAGTGATATGTATGTCAAAACAACAGTCTTAGCAGTTGTATTTTGAACGGACTAGGGAAGTCCAGAGAAGAGATGGGTTATTATTAGGGAGGGATAAAAAGGTCTAGTAGAAAATTTTCCCACAAATGTCACAGAAGTCTTAGATACTTACTGAAGACATTTTTATAACCATTTGTGACATAGCAGCTTTATTATTTTGTGAATAAGACTACTGCTGCTGAAATGTAGTTCACCTCCTTTTGCAGAGTCTTTACATGTGAAATATTAGGAGATCAACAGCACAGGTGCAAAGTATAGGCTTTGAACTGAGCTGATTCTTTCTTTTGAATAACTTCTATAAATCTCCATGGATGGTTGCCTTGAAGAAAAATACTTTATGTACTACACCTGGTTCATAGAATGTACTTAGGCTGTCAAAAAGGACCTTAATGAAGTTTAAATGTTTGTTTGCATGCATGCATGCACGTGCACACGCACACACTCATGCTCACCCTCAAATAGATACCACTGCCTCTACAGTCAGTGTTTCTTCTGTTCTCTCACACACTTATG